CTTATCAAGCTGGATTATACATTGATAGATATACCTCTCTTTGAATTAAATTCTTGAGACGATTTTTTTCTATTTATTTATTTTTATGTTTATACATTTGATATTTTATCTTGAAATATTTTAATATAGTTTTATTAATCATGATGTCTAGTTTTAAATTAAAATTTATGTAAATTATTTTTTATTTAATAAATATTTATTTTTATATAAAAATTAAAATCCATTAAATTCCATGATCAATATATATTTACCATAAAATATGAATTCTTTTGGACAATGATAACATATGACATTATTATTAACTGAAAAAATAATAACATAACAAAATTTAAATATTTTTATTACATTATTTAATAATAATATTATTATTTTTATTATCATAGTTTCATATACAACAATTAATTTTATAGATAAAATTATGAATCGAAATAATTTAAATTTCAGTGTTCAGACTTCAGATTTCAGACATTTTATTCATTGTTTAGATTTTGGTTTTTATCAAACACGACAAACTTAATCAATTCAGTACTTATGATTCAGTCTTCAGATTTCAGACTTCAGACCCAAATTAAGTTTTATCAAACGGATCCTAAGTCATGCTATAAAGTATAAACAAAGAAAAAACACTTTTTTCTGAAAAGAAGAGTAGCTTTTATGAGCCAAAGGAAAATAGAATTGCAAGTTATTATCTTCCACTAGTACGATCAAAAGTGAATGCATACTTAACCTAGACAAGTAAAAATATTACATAGGTGTATCAATATAATTTACAAAGGTAACATGCAAGCTTGATATGACATCATCCAAGATGAAACCTGGACTGCAAATCCATTCAATAGATAAAAGTAGCTATAAAGGTTAGTGTACCTTCTTGTGGACAGTAGAAATTAAAGAAAAATTTCATGCTCTTTTCACATCCACTCCTTGTAGCTTTTAGTCTCTTCCTGACTCCTACACAAAGATTGCATCGTCAATTTTAGAAGATCAAGATCAATGACAAAACTAAATTAATTAATCAGCAAAAAGAAGCTATTTTTCGCCGTATCCCCTCTCCTACAAATGAGACATTGTGGCGTGGCATTTGCTTCCCCCTTTCAACTGTTCCGAGCATTCAAAAATAAACTGAAGTAAAAGCTTTTTATCTTAAAGCCGATATAGAAACACAGAGAAAGCGACTTAGTGTCACGTACAGGGGAAACAAACCGACTATAACGGGAGACAGAGAATGATGTCTAAGCTTGTTGTCAAGGGTACAGAAAACTAATGATGTCTAAGAAGAAAAAAGAGCTATCAACTCAGAAGTACAAGATTACCACTACAACACTTCAAAAGCAATAAACTGATGTCTATAATAGTTGAAATAGAACCTACCAAGAGATACCGAAGAAGTCCGCTCCACCCTTTCCTAATAACAGACAGAAAGTTGCATCACCAACCTGCAAAAGAAAAGAAGAATGTTGCGCTCGTATAACACAAGATTCAATAGGTACCTGCAAGAGGACAAGCAATAACACCATCATTGAAAAAGGTACTCCACATTTAATATTTAACTGAGCATTAGATACCATCTATCTGATATTTGAAAACTATATCAATGAAATTGAGGCATAATTTACAAGATGACTGTGAGCATAAGGCACAATTTAATAGTGTACAGAAAAAAAAATTGCACATGAAGAAGAATTTCTACAACAACATAAACTTACGTGAATAACCAAAAACGCAAATCAGATGAAAACAATAGTGTACAGAAAACTAAGATTTACTCCAAAACCTGTATTAGTAAAGGAACAGTACCACTCTTTAAGCTCAAACAAAAACTTAAAAAAAAAAAAAAAATGAAACCAAGGGCATGCATCAAATGAAAACAATAAACTTGTCAACCTTACAACTTTCAGAGAACAAGCCCACCAACGAAAAATGCGAATTTCAGCGAGGAAAAACACTACATACATATACTAATAATAGGAGCTTTACTAACAGGCAGATTTCTAGAAACAAAAGACAGTAGAGAAATAAAAAATGAGTAATTTCAGAGGCAAATGTCAGATTTTTCACCAAAACTCTGTCAACAACAACAATTGAGTAATCCAAAAAACAGAATAAAACAGGCATAAGAAATTTAACACGTCCCGAAAAAAAAAATTTGTAAAAGAAACAGCACTTGGGAAATAATATTACACACAATAATACTGTCAAGTTAGCTGTAAACAACATCAAAAAGCCAGTTCTTGAGATTAAATATTTCTGTGTTCCAAATCTAAAATGGATGGGACAAAAGCCCACAAGTATTAACTCATTTCACAATAACGCAGCAGACACATATGGAGGAAATTATTCCAATCCGGTAACTTTAAGCCTCAATTTCATATTGTGATTTTCCTGCTTGAATTCAAACAAAATGAACAGAATTCAAACTACAATTCAAACAGCATCCCGAAAATAATTAGAAATTTCTGCATTGTTTCGTTATAATCAACCTGAAAGTAACAATATAAACCACTAAACTCTTTCAACAAAGCACAACGACAAAACCTATCTTAATGTTTTTTCAGATATAGTTCGAGATTACGAATAGGAAAACAAAGTTCATTGTAGCTTAAGAAAAACAATTTGGTCTGTGTAAAAACTAGTGTCCTGTGTGTATCCTGGTCGGTGTAAAAACCGATTTGCTAACCCCCCCTCCCCCCTTCATTTCTCTAATAACAACACATGATATGCAATCTACTGCCACCCCAACTCAAAGCAAAAAGAAAAATAGAAACTGATTAGCTCAAAAAACTTCTAAAGCAATTGTCAACACTTGGGCAATTGACAAATGTACAGCCCCTTTCCAAAAAAAAAAAAGACAAATGTACAGCCTTACTATAACCTAACACAATTTGACCCAATAAATATCCCACTAAATATAAATAGAAAGAGCAAAAGCGGTAAGCACTTTATAAACAATATACACATAAACCCTCACTAAAAATTCATAGTAGGATACCAAAAAAAAAAAAAAAAAAACCTCGAATTAGAAGTGGTTCCCGCATTAACCCAAAAGTTCTGTAGTTCAGTGCGCATTGAACTTCAATAATCAACAATTGGAAGAGAAGGTGGGCGAGAATTTCTGGGAGAAGATGAAGAAGCTGACCCCTTTATTTTTGGCGGCGCCAACGGAAGAATCAATAGAGGTCTCGTCGACTTCAGGGTGGTATACAGCCACTTGAGAGAGGATTCATCGGAGGAGCTCACCGGAGTCGGATCGACGGGCTGATGATCTGAGAAGCTCGGTGGAGAAACGATGGGCAAATTCCGATTCCGACAAGAAGAGAGAAAGTGACGACGTCGAACTGAGATGAGAGAAAACGTTTAGAGGAAAAAAATTTTGGGTCAAACTAACCCAGCAAACTTACTCATATGACTTATTTGTTTTGTTGACCCAACTCAACCCAATCTAGAAATTAGGAATGAGTCATCGGAGTCATGAGTCATTTGACCCATGAGTTAGTACGACCCAATCCAAGTAAGTCAAAGTGATAGATGGGTTGGGTCAAAATTTAAGTCATGGGTCAAGATTGTCAAATTTAATATATTTTAGCTGATGAAGACCACTTCTCTTCCTCCCCCAAAAAAAGAGAATTTCCCTTTCTTTCTTTTTTTGCTTTGCTCGTGCATGGCATTATCCTTTTTGCAGAAATTAAATACACCTTTATGTTGTCGGTAACTGAGGGAGAAGGGAGAAGAAATTTAGTAAATACCTTAAACTCTATCCCAGGGTAATATAAGTAATTGATGAAATTTAGCTCTAAAATTTATTATTCTGAAAAAATTGATTTTTTTTCGGGGTTTTACATGACAGCCACAACACATTTTTAATAATATGATATAGCAATTCATCATATATGCTTTGTATTCTATATCATCATAAGAAAAATACGTAACTAGTAACATGATATTCTCTAGTGGCAAATATACCTATCTTCCCTCATCTTTTCAGAATGTGATTTTCATTATTTTTATCATTTCCAAAACATTCATAACTTCCCCTGAAAAAATTTCACACGCAAAGAAAACAAACGGATAACGTCAGTTGCAGATGTGAGCAAGTGGATTGTGGGTCAGTTTGAAATTTAGTATATCCCAGATATCGTTTGCTTACTCTATTTACTAACCGCGAGATTTCATACAAAATCAACTGGATTTTCCTAGAACAAATTGACTAAGGTAGTGTGTATATAATATGGGTTGAGCTGATAACTTGATAAAGTATGGGGTATACATAAGTAACATTTTGTTTGTGACGTAATATAGAACATGGCGGTAACGAACATTCTCATATGAAATGGACGGACATAACGTGACATAAAACTAAAGACAAAACTATAATTCCATTACGTCACCTATAAATTTGTGACAAGGTAATTAGTGCTAGGGTTTTCTTTAGATTTTCATTTAAGTCATGACCCATCATTACCGATTTATCCTGGAAATTAAATAATACGTACACATGTACTCCTAATTAGCATTAAGATTATACCTTCATCATCAAAATTATTAAGTTCAAATTTTCAATGAAATATTATCATATCAGAACTCCTTTATTTTGAAGAATTGCATTAATTTGCAAAGAGAAAAAAAAAAAGGAAAAAATAAAGAGGCGAACATTAATTACAGAAGGCTAGCTTTATGATTTATATAATAGTTTTTCATTTGTGTAATCTAAAACTAGTTGATGCCCTAACTTCGTTGCCATCATTTAATGACGTAATAAATTAAGACTATTCCATATATCCAAATAATGGCAACTCCAAAGGAACAAATGAAGATCAACACCTGTACAAAGCCTTACTGGGACACATTTTCATCCAAGAAATTATGAGAGCCAAAAGATTTATTGCTTGCAATTTGAAGAAAAATTGGTTACCCTTTTTTCCATGCTCAATTACCCAATACGACACTCTTACATTGCCTATATAAAGGCGTTATAACCATGATACTGACCATCACAACATTGCCTAATAACATCTTACATCAAAATATTGTAAAAAAAGAAGAAACACTATCTTGAAAATGAAGACTTTATTTATCAACTGTTCCTCATTTTTCTTTGTAACTCTTCTCATCCTCCTTGGAGTTGATAAGGGATTTGTTCATGGCGACGAATCATCGAGCAGTGGCTTTGTCCAAACCAAGGGAACCCGATTCATGTTGAACGGGCGACCCTTATACCTAAACGGTTTTAACGCTTATTGGATGATGTACCAAGCATCAGATCCTTCAACCAGAGACATGGTATCAACCACATTACAACAAGCCAAATCAAAGTACGGTATGAATGTGGTCAGAACCTGGGCCTTCAGTGATGGAGGTTATAGAGCCTTGCAGAAATCTCCTGGCTCCTATGATGAAGAAGTTTTCCGGGTAATTAAGTGCACACGTTTATAATAATATTCTTGTAGTTGACATACTGTAGATAAACTTATTGTTGTTTTTTCTGGGTTTGATGATATCACCAGGGGTTGGATTTTGTGATCTCGGAAGCCAAGAAGAATGGGATTTATTTGATACTCAGTTTGGTAAATAACTGGGAAGGATATGGAGGCAAAAAACAATATGTTCAGTGGGCTAGGGATAATGGCCATTACTTGAACAATGAAGATGACTTCTTTACCGATTCCGTGGTCAAAGGTTACTACAAAAACCATATCAAGACTGTTCTCAATAGGGTCAACTCCTTTACGGGAATTGCCTATAAGGATGAACCCACAATTTTTGCATGGGAGCTCATGAATGAACCTCGTTGCCAATCCGACCTTTCTGGAAAATCCCTTCAGGTAATAATTATGATTACACAAAATTACACATTTTTGGTACCTTATTAATTTATTATTAAGTTAAATCAAATGTGACTAATTTATTATTACAATTTTTTTAATATATTTTTCGAGGGTTGGGTATCTGAAATGGGAGCTTACATTAAGTCCATTGATAGCAATCATCTCTTGGAAGTTGGTCTAGAAGGATTTTATGGCGAATCGATGCCCGAAAAACGAGTTTCCAATCCTGGTTATGAAGTTGGAACTGATTTCATAGCCAATAACAATATTCCACAAGTTGATTTTACCACCATTCACCTCTATCCCGATCAATGGTAAAAACATTTCACAAGAAAAATTTATCGGTTGTCTTGATTGTTGTCCTAATTTTAATTGATTTACAAAATTCATTGATGGCAGGACTAACTCAGATGAGGCAACTCAAGCTCAATTTGTGGAAAGATGGATCAAAGCTCATATAGAAGATTCTGCATCTGTGTTAGGAAAACCTCTTATGCTGACTGAATTCGGAAAATCTTCAAGGTCATCAGGATATCAAGTTTCAGTGAGAGATGCCTATTTCTCGAATATCTATGACACTCTTTATTCTTGCGCGAAATCACCATCAGGCGTATGCGGAGGATCTTCCTTCTGGCAGGTGATGGCTCCAGGAATGGAAAATTGGGGCGATGGTTATGAAGTTTTCATGGATCAAAGCCCTTCCACTATGGCAGTTGTCGCTAAGCAATCCAGCAGACTCGCATCCCTTAGTTAATTAACACAATTATATGGCAGCTAGCGAGAAAGACCCAATAATTATGATCATTGACGATTTCTTTTTCTAGCTAGCTAGAATCAAATAATTAAAACAATAAAATCAGCTTCGGAATTAATTATTTTCTTCTTATTTATTATTGTGATTCAACCACATTGTTGAATCACAAATGAATATCGGTATCATGTAACAAACATTTTTTCCTCATGGAAAGATACTATTAATGAATTGAGCATTGATCTATTTGTTTTGCTATTTTATTTCTTTCATTCTCAGTGTAGAGATTTTCTTTTAGTTTAGTTCTCCTTTCTTTTATTGTTCTAGTTCTAGACCTTAATGCATCGTGCATATATCCTGTCTCTTAAAACGGAAGGCCCATACCATATTCCTACATTGTGTTCGTTCAAATTGAGCCGTGAGCATAGAGTGCTAATGTGTAACAGTATAGTTGATTTCTTTTGTATAGCATCTTTGAAGAGCATTTGTGAAAAATCTTTTACCAAATTTTATTTAAATTTGTACCATACAATTTGAAATAACAGAGATAGAATCTTTTTCTATCCCAGTCATTTTTCTTGGAGACGATAGTTGGGTAAGAATTGGAAACATAGATATATATATATATATATATATATGACCATTGTCCATCACAGCTATATCATTAAGAAACATGTGGTGACGAGGGTAACTGAAATTGAAGTATATTTAACTGAAAATTCTGATTTGAAAAAATACTAGTGAATGATTGGTGATAATCGATAAAATACTAGCGTTACCATTAAAAACTTATATGGATGACCTTTTCTTTTCAATCCAACGGAAGAAAACTCGCGCATGCATATATTTAGATTTCAAACAAATAATCAACGATACTTCACAAAGGAATCCAAAACTGAAAGTCTCATACATATTATTCATGTAAGTTGTAACATGTTAAAATCAATCAAAGGCGGTTAGAGTGGATTGTATACGTCGATTCGTTTTGTAAAGAATAATAATACATAATTCACCTAATTTATCCCACCATTGTATCTCACCTTACATATTATTTAATTATTATATTAAATTAATTTAACTATGTTTTGTACGATTTATAGAAAATTTAGGTATTTTTATATCCAAAAATTTTAAAATAATCTTAATCCCAAAAAAGTAAACCATTTTGGAAAAAGTTATAACAATGCAAATGATTCATCAATAAAAACATTGACAAGAAATATAACATAAGCATATTGAGTTATTTAGATGTAAAGTAAGAAATAGTCTACTAATTATAGAAAATAGATTATTCATTAAATGATTAATGACATATAACGTGAGATGCAAGTGATAAATTTGAAAAGATGAATATTATTACTCTTTTGTAAAATGGATTATGAGTTCGGAAGCCTGCAACTGATGAAAGGGGATAATGGTAAATATGACGAAAATGGTCTTCATTAATTTGTGACTTCTTGTCTTTATCAGTCCAAAAGGGTGAAGTAGAATTACATTATTACGTGACTTCTTGCCTTTGTAAAGTTGCATTTTATTTAATCCTCTAATATTTTTGGCTTTCCAGCGGAAAATATATATTTTTACTATAATAACTGTGTTAAAATACATTATGGCTGTATAATATAGGATAATGTTGTTTAAAAGAGAGTTTTCAATCGAACACATGTTGCAAAGTTAGATATCCTAATCCACGTGGCGGAAAAATAGATAGCCAAGTCCACATGACGCAACCACATCACTCCATCATTTAATAGTAATTTTTAATTTAAAACTGTAAATTTATAGGTAAAATTAAATTAACTAAAAATTATAAAAGGAAAAAAATAAAACTAATTATTTCCTCTGGCTATCAATTGCCAACATGGTATGTCCGCATCCGTATTGTTTTGACCCATGGTATTTCCTTTGTATTTATATAGAGAGAGAAAGAGAATATTTTTTGAAGTTGAAATTTTATCCGATTAGGATATAGTTGATCATCACTAATGAAAAGATTGAATATGCTAATTGGAATGGAGTATATTTCACCACATATTCTCAATTGATAATTGATGAGGAATTTGTTTTTTTTTTTTATTGTGGAGAAGGGATTGATTAGGGACTCCGTTGTGGTAGAGATGGGAATGAGGATTTAGGTTTGTTATGAACCCATGGTTTTTTTTTTTTTTGGCGAAAATAGGAGATGGAGGTGGATTTAGACTGTATTTACCTTTTAAGTCTAGGAGATGTGTAAATAAAAATTTATTTTAAAAATATAATGTGAAAATGTTACATGGCAAATGGTGATGCTTTCTCTTAAGTGTGGTTTTTATTTCTAATATAGTAAGATTTACAAGACAACATACGTGGAATATAAAACTAGAGCCTTCTCCCCTAAATCTAAATATGGAAGTAAGTTTCTTCACTAACGAGTGGCAATGATCGGTTACAATAACGTTACTGAATTGAAACTTCTATGGATTACTTTCTTTTCCTTTCAATCCAATAGACGAAACCACGAGCCATGCATATTTAGATTTCAGACAAATAACTAACCATGTTCTAAATGACAGTGCAATTTAAATTTTATTTTACATAGAAATTGTTTTAAATATATGAATTGAAATAGGACAATAATTATTTTTGACAGAAAGATTACAATTTAAAGATGAATTGAAAATCGAAAACACAAAATTTACTTGGTATATATTTGAAGTTTAAACTGAAGTCCTGTGCATTTCTGGAAATCAAAATTCTTATTTTTTTCGATATGTAATATTCATATAACGTGGTACATGTGCGAATAAATAAATCAAAGGCTATTTAGAGGTAAATTGCGTACGTTGATTGGCTTTGTTAAATGGACTACTCGTTCGGATGCTCGGAATTGGAGGGGACATGAGTAAAGATCTTCGGAGGCAATTAATGGTAAATGTGACCTGCATATTACAGTGATCTGATGATAGTAATGACTTAGCCGAATAGGAAGCAATTGTATGTGAATTTCTGTCTTTTTAAGTCACATGTTATTCAATCCCGGAAAATTTTCAACTTTCTAGCCAAAAATTTTTGTGGTTGATTCGATCATCCTACGTCGCACAACCCATGTTTGGAAGGTATGCTCTATGATAGAAGCATACAGTAATTCTTTGTAGTCTTATTCCTTTTCTTTAAACCCACACACACACACACACATATATATATATATATAAATTGCTATTTTCCCCTACAAAGAGAAGTGATCTTATAGAGTTATAGCTGCTATAACATGTCTTAATTCACTGCAAGTTTTAAAATTTTTAATTTCAAAGAGTAGTACAGATGGAGAGTACAATAACTATTTTTTAAAGAGAAGTACAAGTTTTGATTTATTGTTTTCATGGTAAGTCCGTAGCATTTTTTGTTATTTGCTAATTAGTAAAATTACATTCTATTTATTCCGTTTTCTTCGAAAAATAACAATACGTGCATGTTGTTCAATGTCTGGGAATGTGCATTGAGTGCACCATTTTCATATACATGTTTGTAAATTTATAACTGTATATTTCTTTAAGATCTATTAGACTCTGCATATGTGTATTTATGGTAAAGAGTACAATAGATGCATATACGCTTTGCAATCAAATATACTAAAAGTAGATGTTAAACCCGCACGATGCGCAGGGTTTATTTATATAAATCATGAAAAATTAACAAAAAAAATATAAAAAGTGTAAAATATATTTGGAGTCCATATTAAGATACATTACACAACTAAAATTTAATAAATGAGTAATTGTAAAGATAAAATAATGCATATCATTTGAAATGCAAGTCTTCACTTGATTTTTATTGAAGGAGAAGAACTGGACAATAACACTCATAAGCAGAGTAAAATAAATAAGATTGTATTAATGTTAGATATTGAATGAAAAGATAAAATGATTGTACGCGTAAAATACATAATAAAGTAATTATCAATAGTAGATGGTAGATTATGTGTGACTGAAATGTGAAGTTTAAATTTTTTATGGTTATTTTGTTGTAATTAAAGATTCTATAGTACTGTTTGGTCCAATACTTAATATTTTAGAGCAACAAACCAACTGTAGAGTTAAAATTTTTATCCTTTAATCTCTTTTTGCTATGATAATAGAAAATAATAATTCATGAAATAATGAAATTATGGGTAAAAAAACATAAATTTAGTAACGTCTAAAAAGGAACCCTAAAACATCATTTTACAGAAGAATATATGGAAAAAAAAATCATATATAACCGTAATTAACCATTACCTCCCATGCCACACGATCGACCCACTATTAGTTCATCACTTTCAGAACAACAAACTAACTGTAGGGCTAAAGTTTTTGCCCTTTCATCTTTGGATTTCGGGTTGTTTTGGGGAGGGGAAAATTTTTGCAGCACTGGAACATACTCATGGTTTGTGTGGAGTGTACAAATAGAGATAAATTGGGATTGATGATAGTTGATTATCTAAAATTTTAGTGATAAAGATAAAGTTTATAACATTTTTTGAGATATTAGTAAGGAAAGATTATATTTATTTGGGTAGATATGATATTATATAAATAAATGCATTGGTTTGAAATTCAAAAGATAACATTTAATTATAGTTAAATCCCATCTTTTTAGTAATAATTGAAGGCAAATTTTGTACTTTTTTTTTTCTTTTTAATTGGCGAAAAATACAGGGTCATGTTTTTGGGAGAAGATTTTAAAGATAACATTAATGTTGAATGATTGGTATTGTTTTTTTTTTTTGAATTGTAGTCTATTGATTTACATGATTGGGAGGGAGATTTTTTTTTGTTTTGAGAGAGATTAATTAAATTAGTCCAGTAGTAACTTTGGGGATTCTTTTGGGGAGGGAATAATTCTGGTGCATTAATATTCCTTAATCCCGTCTATTAAATTTAAATAATTTTTATTTTCCTATTTTAAACTATAGTTTTAAATGCCATTTGATAAAACTTTATTTACATAAAATTTGAAGGACTATTAGTATAATTGTTGTAAATATTTTTTGACTCAACCATTAGGAAAATGACACATAGGATTTTATCCTATGTGGCACCTTTAAAATTCTTTTTTGTTTTCTTTCTCTGATTTCTCTCTTAGTATAATACTATAGATGACTCGCCGACTAATTAATGTCTTAGGGTTTGGAAGGATTTTTTTTCCTGAGGGAAAAAAAGTATTAATGACGCCTAGAAAAGTCCAGTGAATAGAAAATAAACTCTTATGTTTTCAAGAA